AGGAGAAGCAGGAACAGCTCCCACTTCTGAGTTGGCGCCAGCTGCAGGGCCAGGGTCTGTCTTAAGGTTTTTAGGATTAGAGGGTGAAGCTTCCGAAGCATCAGACACGCAGTTTCTGGGACGCCTGGTGAGTACCTGCAGGTGAGAGAAGTGAGGCTCATGCATGACCCATCAGGCTGGGGGAAGCCATGGCAACACAGGGAGACAGAACACTGGCCGCCAAGACCAGGGGCTACCAGCCTAGGTGTGTCTACAGGAGACTGGGCTGTCTGAGATAGGCGGGACGATGGCTGAAAGGGGAGGGAGCCATCCAGGCCAGTGCTGGGCCACCGGGCAGCCGCCATCCAGAAGGACAAGGCCGGGATGGGTTTTCTGCTCTGCAGAGGTGCACAGATGTGGGGTCGTGGAGTATCTGGCGCATGCAGCCTTCAGCCCGTCCGCTGCAGGGGACATATGCTGAGCTCAGCCCGAGCCCCCTGGTCTGATGCCATGCTTGACACACAATTGCCTCGTCCCGAACTGGACTCCCAGAGTCCCCAGACTCTGAGCTTTGCGGGTCCATGTGACAGTCGTCTCCTGGCAAAGGCTGGAGTCCGACCGTCAAGAGCACTGCGGGTAGCTGGTGGCCTCAGGGCTGCGCCCAAGCGCGGGTCGCTGGTGCTCTTGGGCCTGTGTCAGTCCCCCCAGGTCTGCACCCCAAAGGGCCTTTGGGGACGACTGTGAGGTTCACCCAGACCAGCCAATGTGGGGCCGAGATGGTCCCCAGGCCCTCTGATTTAGACTGCCCGGCATTAAATAAGTGTCCACTGCCAACTTTTAAAAATTGGGAGCACTGACATTGCAAGTCCCTGGTTTTTAACTTCTTTTTAACAAGCCAGGAGATCTGGCTGCACATGGCCTTGGTTCTGGCAAAGCAGCCATCGTCTGCTCTCCCGAGATGGTCCCCGCCAGTCCCTGTTCTCTCACGGCTTCAGACGGCTAGACCTGCGCTTGTGTGTCCACGTCTTAGTCTGCTAAGGGCTGAGGTCTCGCCCAAGGGCTGTCTTGGCCCTCCTGTCTAAGAGCTGACGATACCAGAGCCAGCTGGGGGGCGTCGGGGGAGCCATGCGTCTGCACACATTCCTTAGGGGCTGGTCTGCCTCCTCACCAGGAGCCGAGGCCCATGGAGCCTACACCTGCCCTTGGTGAGTGACCTTGACCAGCTGCTCCACTTAGCAGCCCTCTCATCCTGACATGGGGACAGCCAACTCAGGGGGGCAGCGAGCTGGGGACGCCAGCCCAGCACTCAGCCAGGCCTGAGACCTCAGCGGGGCGGCCAGTCCTTCAGTCCACGCCCAGTGACTCTGGGCGCTGAGATGCCTCACTGCTAATCCAGTCAAGCCCTCAAAGGCCGCCTGGCGCGTGGCCAAGTGCTCCGCGGCGCTCCTTGGCGGCGCTCCTTGTTAGAAAGGGCAGCTTATGGGGTTTTCTCAGCTACACTGTTCCCCAGGCGTGGCCAGAGCCGAGGCACAGAACACACCTTGCCCCACTTATCGCTGGGGACGGCGGTGCCAGGGTGGCCTGCTGGCAGGCATGGAACCAGCTCCTGGACAGGCCAGGCTATCAGTGGCCAGTGAGCCTTTCTGCCACCCGGCACCTCACACCCATTTCTCCACCGGGAGCTCCCACCCAACTCTGGGCGGGTGGCACGCAGCCTCCTCCAGTAGCCATGGGCAGGAGGCCTAGCCGCGGAGGGAAGAAGGGAGCCGCAACACACCGCACGTGAGGGGCCCTGAGGGGTCCTCTGGCCAGGCCTTGAGTAGCTTCTCTGCTGCCGGTCCAGGGTGGATGGTCACCCCCTCAAGCCCTCCCCGGCTACACTGCATGACCCTGCACCACCCCCTCCGCCACAAAACCAGCCGTGTAGAAAGAAGCCTGGAAGGGCTGAAGTGGTGCAGAGCAGGACAGGCAGCTGCATGAGTGGGCTTCACGGGCGGTCTGAATTCGTGGGGTTGTTTTTCCTCTCAACATCATGAAAAATTTAAACAAATACCAAATTTGAAGGAATTTTGCTATGAACACCCATATGCTGCCATGTAATTTGTTTTTGCTTCATCACGTAGCCCGCCAAGGAAGTTCTCAGCCTCGTGCAGGTCCGTGAGCCGCTGGAGCTCCGGTGAAGCAGGACCTCTTTCAGGTTACGGACCGGAACACAGTTCTGCTCAGACTACCGGTGGGCCCGACGTCAAGGCCTCACTCTAAACATTAAAGACGGGCAGGGCAAGCGAGCAGAGAGTACACAAGACGGAAGTGCCAGAGCTTTGTCCAGAGCGGACTTTGTTCCCAGCCAGGATGAAGGTCCCTGAACCGCCCCTTTAATGAAGGTCACAAATCATAAAAATCACAGCTTCAGCACGTGAGTCCTCCACAGCCCCACGGGTGGACTAAGAAGTATGACAACTCACAAGGTGAGGAAAATTTGGTTACAACTGCGTTGTCCAATATGGTAGGCACTGGACACACGTGGCTACTTAAATTAAAACTGGAATTAAATCATATTAAAAATTCCTTCTTTCTCCTACTTGGGAAACCCTGGTGGCATAGTGGTTAAGTGCTATGGCTGCTAATCAAAACGTCAGCAGTTCAAATCCACCAGGCGCTCCTTGGAAACCCTATGGGGCAGTTCTACTCTGTCCTCTAGGGTCACTATGAGTCGGAATCAACTCAACGGCAATGGGTTTCTTTTTTTTTGGCTTTTCCTACTTGAGTGACACATCGGGGCTGGACAGCGTGTAGGTGTGGGGTTGCTGCAGCAGACAGCACAGAGTAGAACGTCTCTATCTCTGCAGTGTTTTGCTGGATGGCGCTGGGTCACTCAGCAACGGCAAGACGTCTCAGGACCACCACGATGGGCGTAATTAACGGCACGGAACGGAACACGTGAGAAGACGGTTGAAACAGCAAATGCTTTGTGACCTATATAGTTACCACAACAAAACTGCACGCGGACAGAAAACGCTACCCAATTACCCACGCGAGAAACCTGGGGCTACGTGGTTATGACTTGATGTTCAGAAGGTACGTTTGTGAAGATTCTTAGTGAGGGCCGGGGCCCAGCTCCCAGGTCACACTGACGAACCTCCTCCACTGGATCTGCTCACTAGGTTGCCAAGTCTGGCAATCTTCACTTGGGATGCCTGCGGTTTTTAAACCGTGAAATTTCCAAAATGGGCTGTTGTTCTCTCTAATCCAAAAACAGTCGATTCTGACTCACCGCCACCCTACGGGACAGAGTAGAACTGCCCCATGGGGTTTCCAAGGCTGTCATTTCTACAGAAGCAGACTGTCATATTTTTCTCCCATGGAGCGGCTGGTAGGTTTGAACTGCTGACCTTTTGGTTAGCAGCTGAGCTCTTAAGCACTGTGCCACCAGACTCCTTCCCTCTAATCCACAGTTGGCAAACTGACATTTTGTGTTTTATTGGAACACAGCCACGCCCACTCCTCTAAGTACCTGCCCGGTTTCCCACAGCTGAGGCAAGTAGTCGTTCAGAGACCACCACGTGGCCCGCAGGCTCTAAAACATTTCCTGTCTGACACTTTAAATTTTGCCCACCCCGGCTCTACCCCAATGAACCCAAACCACAAAGTGGATCCTAAATGTCTAATTTACACAACTCACCTCAACAATTCTTAAAGCTAAGGTGCTTCACTTTTTAACCTCTTCAGCTGTGAAGGTGGTTTCAAACTTGCAACTTCAGTAAACTACTCGATGCTCCTCAAATTTCAATCCCAGTCATCAACCCAACCACCACCATCTGCCTCAGACAAAAGCTGACGAGAGAGACGTGTAACTCCCTCCCGTGTGAGGAAAGGCCTCACGCTGGGAGATGGCATCTAGGCTGGGCTTCTCCCCACACCCCTCGGAGCTCCAGGCCCGAGGGTCACCCTGAGATGGGGGCTCCACACGCCCCTCGGTGCTTTGTTACATACCGAAGCTGTACTTCCCAGCGTGTGGTACACAGATGCTGTTACCTTAAACATGACACATTTATTTAATGTAAGAATACCTGGCAAACACAATGGGAGACATGTGCCTCTCCTTGCTGGCTGTGGTGGTCCCCAAGACTGTCGGCTCGAAGCTCAAGAGGCCAAGGACTCGTTTCAAAGGAGGTCCCCGACGTGGACTGGCGGGGAGTGTCTGGGAGGCAGACTGCACTGTTCAAAGTGAGGACGGTCAGCCCGTACCCTTGGATGCTCTTTTCGTTTTAAAACAAGGCCGTGTCACACAGGAAGGCCCCAGGCACTGCCAGCCTCTTGTGAGCCTCACACCACGGTTTCCAGGGGCCCACTGTCTTGAGGACTCCATCACATCAATGGATGGATCCCAGTGGATATAGAGGGAGAGGTGGAAACGTCTGCAGTGTTTCAAGCCTGCTGTTCGAAAGGCAGTTTGTTTTCTTCCTTTAATTGAAAAATTCCACCCGTCTCCCCAAAATCAGTTTGATGAACTCCAACTCGAGACCATAACTGGGAGTGAATGGAAAAGTAAACGCAGCACGTGACACGGACGTTACAGAAAGTTCTTTGTAAAAAGTTGTTTAGTATCTTCAGGGAGATGGTAGGAAGTTTCAGTCACCCATGACTATAACCAACCCCTGGCCAAAAAGAAACACCGAACAAAACCACCTGCACGTCCCTTCAAAGCCCAGCAGACGGTGAACGAGCCTCGCCGCCCTGCCCGTGAGGACTTGCTCTGCTGGAGGCCGCCTCAGGGGGCAGGGAAGGGCAGCCTCCTGGGGGAGGGTGCCCCTGAGACTGGCCATCTGCAGAAGGCAGCTCTCGGTGCACAAAGGCACACACAGGACGTGGTCAGCGAGGGACCCAGCCAGGGGACTGGACCAGAGACCAAGGGCTAGGGCACTGGACAGGGGGCACAAGCCCACCCAGGCGACCGTGCTGGAGGCTCCATCCACTCGAGACAGCTGGCCCTCCCCTGGGCTACACCTACCACATCTGCAAATAATATCTCCAGTCGTCTCAGCTATACAAGGCTCCCTCCTGGAAAACCTTTGATTTCTTAGCTCAAACTTACTAGCTGGAGGCAGAAACCCAGGATTATACAGCAGCAATACTGAGACTGGGGGGAGGAATACATCTTGGTCAAACCTTGTGGTAAACAAAAAGGAGTCCCAAGCCTACTTCTGGGGAACAGAAGAATCTTTCTCAACTTCCATGTCACTCACTGAATTATAATTTTTATAGAAAATTTTATTCAACATACAACATGTTCCAGCAAAAAGGCAATATACAGGAAGAGCTGGCGTACAGTGCAGCTACAGAAACAAAACAAAAAAATACTGGAAAAGGATGGAAAAATCAGTGTGATTTGCGGATTCTATTTGACTGCACTCAAAACTAGACATGTGGCTGCATTAGCTCCCAGGTAAGAGGAAATGAGGCTGGGACGGAAATAAAACTACACACAACGAGCATCAGCGTCAGCGAGTCTCCGCAGACTCACCCAACAAAAAGGAACCTCCTCCAAGTGGTCAATTGTACATGCTCATTCATTAAATAGACGATCTCATTCTTCCATTTTTCCCTCTCCTTTTTAACTCTTTAATTTTTTTTTATTTTTATTTTTTACAAAGTCAACAGCTTACTAACCACTAGTGAGTATGCCCTCTTTGCTAAAAGGCTCTCCTGTTCTGTTCTGTCTGTTCCATTTTAATGACATCCTATTTATAATCCTTTCACCAGCTTTCACGAACAGTGGAGATCAAGTTTGCCATCAGGCAGCACAGTCAACCTTAAATGTACGGAACAACGTTTTCAATTGGATAAAAAGACCCCGCGTGTCTGCCAGGCTTGGATTCAGTGTGTCCCCTATGCAGACGGGCTGTGGCACAGAGGCCGATCGAGGCGAGACGAGGTTACTAGAGACCCCAGGCAGCTGGAGGTGAGCTCGAGGAAGGGCCGACAATGCACACAGTGAAGGAGAGATCGCTATTTATTAGGTTGTAAGTTTCTGTTTTGCCTTTACAGGGGCACAAAAGGTCACTGGAAGTGTAACTGAAGGAAGTACGTCAGACGGGCCTAAACATAAGACTCACTAGCTGCAGGGTTGGCGGACGGGACCCCCAGGGAGGCAGCCAGCCAGCTCATGCCAACTAGAAACAGACTAGAGACCTCTGGCCAGCGACCCACGGCCTACTAACCTCTTCCCGCATTATGCTGACGGGTGCCTTGCATTGTGGTTACCATAAAATAACTCTCATTGGCATCCAAGCTTTATAAAAACACCTTCATTTTGCTCAAAAAGGGCAGTCAATAGGTACAGAGAAGCCAAACTCAACAGCCTCGACAAAATAAAATTAACACCAGCAGCAACTCCTCTTGCTGAAGACTTCGGGTAGAGTGCATGTGTACCAAAGTTCTACGCTGTTAAAAAGGGGCGCGCGCCCACGCGCGCTCCCTCACCTGACACACTGAGTAAGAAGTCAGTTATGGATTTTAATAGCCTTCTCAAGGTAGGTGTAGCGACTCCTCTTTGGGGCTTTGTTGAAGTGGTCAAGCCCTAGCCAAGGCCGAGGGTGAGACATGTTACCTGGTGGGAGAGAGAAAAGCAACTGAGATGGAGCCCGTTATGGAGCATGGACTTCTGAGCCCCGCGCTTGCCCGGAGTACTGAGGACCCCTACCCTAACTGAGCATCTGAATGGCGTGTCAGACGCAGCACGTCAAGTCTCCTGACAACTCACGTGGAGCCACCAACCCCCAGGACCCTGAGTTGAAATTTTTACATCCTCGTTTAGCCCATGTTTAAGAGCCTTGGTGGCGCAGTGGTTACGTGCTCGGCTGCTAACAGAACGGTTGGTGGTTCGAACCCACCAGTGGCTCTGCAGGAGAAAGATGTGGCAGTCTGCTTCCATAAAGATTACAGCCTGGAAAACCCTATAGGGCAGTTCTACCCTGTACTACAGGGTCGCTATGAGTCAGAACCGACTCAGTGGCAATGGGTTTACTTTAACGCATGCTAAGGGCTTTAATCTTTAAAAGAACTAAGAGATTATGCGCTGCTGCTTTACAGATGTGCAAACAAGCCCAGGCCGCCCGGCTGTGGCAGAAGAGGAGACTGGGACTTGTACCCAGGGCTGTCCAGCCACCTCCCAACTGCTTAACTTCAACCCACACCTAGAAAACTACGTCCAGGGCCAGAGCTCTTACCGGGCTGAGGCTCAAAGTCTTTCAAGTTTACTTCATACTCATCTTCGTTTATGTACTGGTGTCGGCCCATCATTACAATCGCAAATTTAAACTAAAAAACAAAGTAGAACTCCTTCATTAACTCTGGATATGAGCAAAAGCCACACCTCCGGCAAAACCCCGCCAGCTGCTTCACTAGTCAAGATTCGGCCACGCTCCCAGTTAAATAAGGCAGAAGCCTCAGAGAGGCGCGCACCTTTTCAAACTCCTTCTCCTGGATGTCGAGCAGACTCTGGATCCGCTTCATCACTTCTCGGAAATGCTCGCCCTGCAAACGGAAATGAGGTGTGCTCACACAGCACATGCTCATGTGGCCTCACAGCCCACATGGACACCACGTCAACCACCCAGCAATGACAGTGACTCAAGAATGACAGAAGGCATCAGGTTTTGACACGAGATGCTCAGAGCTACTACAAAACAAAACCCACCTGGTGTATCCTCAGCAAAAATGGAATTCCAAACGTTCCAAAAACCTCTTTGTGGAAATGTGCCACTGTGATCAGCATCTCGTTTTCCTTGTCTATGTCTACCTGGTCCAAAGGTATTTCCTGTGGACACATTAGAAACCCACAGAGGTGAAGTGCAGTTAGTGCAGACCAAATGGCCCGCTTTCATTCTGACAGGCTACTTCAGGACTTTACGTCATATTCTTGCCCAAGTGCCAGGCTCTGGTCTAGCTGGAATGAGGAAAGTCCAGAGCCAGAACAGATTTCAGTTTTTACAGGGTACACTGGGTTTTGAGAAATCAAATGTATCATCTAGTTACTGTGGAAACAGCAGCTGCTCTGAACTCCATAGGGACCCACAATTTCTGCCTAGACTTGCTTGGTGGCCCATGTTTAAAGTTAATTCCTTCGAATCTGGTAGAATAAGAGGACACCTTAGGAATCACTTCAACTACTGGTAAACACAAACCAAAGCCACTTCTGCACGTTGTTTAAAGATTTAAACAAGAAGCCAGTGGGCTGCCCACCCCCGAGGGTTCACGGCTTCACTCAACGAAGGGCCATTACCTCTATTCGAAACGTTCGACTCGTTGCAGGGGATAAACATTCTAATAGTTCATCTTCTTGATGCACACCAATAATTTTGTAGCTTACAATTTCTAGCAGCCTGAATAAAACAAGGGGGAAAAGTGAACTATATATGTTCAGGTGGGAAGAAAAAAAAAAAAAAAAGAAAGACTGCCTGATCATGCAAACTAACAGCTTTCTAGGAAACTGTCTGTCTACAGGACTACCAAGATGTGCTGGCATTTTTTCTTCTCAAAGAGGATATGAAATATCAAAAGCAGGTGTATGTGGGAAGGAGACAGACACTGGCTGGGTGACTGCAGAGAAAACAAGCCAACTCCTCAAGGTGCCGTGACTAAAGGAGACTCTGAAGACAGAACCTCCGGCCCATGGCTAAACGGGGGCGCCCAGAGTTGCGTGAACCTTCCCACATAAATTCAAAATAGGCAGGACTGCCATTTTTCTCACTTGCTCTTTAGAGAACAGATAATGGTCTCATTCTTTGCTTAGCATTACAAAGAAAACATTTCTGGAGCCAAAGAGCCAGGCTGACTGTGAGGCAAAGCGGTAAGAACAGCGCCGAGTTCCCTGAGGTAAAAACCGCCCAAGGCCTGGCTGAACAAGAAAGGTGGGACCCATTCCTCAGCTACAATCAGCTGATGGTTCACCTTTAGCCGCATCTGCCCTCTGCTTGGGCTTTTTGGCCAGGATCTCACACTTTTTTACTGGAGCTGATTAATATTAGGAGTCAGGGAAGGAAGGAAGAAGAAAATGCCTTATAATTCTGAAGTATTTATAAACTTCTGCAAAAGACTGACTGAAGGGTGAGCCTGGGAATGCCTCATGGGCCTTGTGTTTAATCTCCATTCATGCTACTTTGGGCCGTGCTGCCCTCCGGCCACCCACCTCTTCTTCAGGATATACTTGCCTAAGTTTCCCTGACGCTTTCTCCCCGAGCTCTACAGCCTTTTTACATTCTTCTAGCAGGTCCCGGACACAGCCGTGCTTGTCTGGATATAGTGTTATTTCCTGAGTAACGACAGAATGAAGTCAGCACTTTCAGAGGAAACAGAAAAGGTCTCTGCTACAACACACCAACTTTGCTCCCGCAGAGAAAGGACAACAACGCAGCGGTTGATCTCAACGGCCTCTGGCTGGCTCACCACGTTCTCATCGACACTCCCACAGACTTGTGGCCCCTGACCGTTTTTAAAAATAGTATTTTACTGTGCTTAAGGAGAAAGTTTCACAACAAATTAGGTTCCCATGTAACAGTTTCTACACAAATTATTCAGTGATATTGGTTACATTTTTCACATTGTGCCACTATTCTCATTCATTCCATTCTGGTTGTTCCGTTTCCAGTACTCTAGTTTCCCTGCCCCCTTGCTTTCTCATTTTTACTTAAGAGAAATTTTTGATCATTGGTCTCATACAGATGATTTTTTAAAGGAGCTCATTACTCACAGGTGATATTCTTCATTTTATGAATCAATCTAAAAGGTGACCTTAAGGAATAACTCTGATTTAAAGTTTAAAGAGTAACTATCTCAGGGCAATAGTCTTAGGGAGTCCTCTAGTCTTAAATGTTTCAGTAAGTCTGGACTTTTTAAGAATTTGAGCTTCTGTTCCACATTTTTCTTTCCATTCTATAAAACTCATCTATCGTGGCCCTGATCAGAACGGTTGGTAGTGGTAGCCGGGCACCATCTAGTTCTGGTCTCAGGGCAGATGAGGCTGTGGTTTGTGCAGGCTATTTATCCTGCAGACTAATTTCTTCTCTGAGTCTTTGGTTTCTTTCCTTCTCTTCTGTTCCAGACAAGCAGAGACTAATAGTTGTGTGGCCCCTGACTTGTGAGTTCACACATGGTGGGACAATGGGCCCCAAACTGGGTATAACCCAGGACTGAGGAATTTGAGGAATGCCATCTTGAGGCACAAAGCTTATATGTACAGAACGCTTTTCAGGAACAACCCCTGCCCCCGAAAAGGTCATCTAAAAGCCTTCCCGGCTCTCAGCACAGTGAGCAAGGGAAACAAAGCTCATCTAGATAAAGGACCGGAGGTGTGCTCTGTAACGTCATCCTAATCAATTCCACACGAGGAGGGTCTCTGTGGCACGTGTCTCCTGTTTCCTCCAGTATCCTGTTTCCTCCATACTGGTTAAGCTAGGAAGGTGAAAGACGTGGGATCCATACAGGTACAGACTACCTGGAACCACCACCTAGCAAGAAGAAACTGAGCAGGGTCAGAAACTTTTTTGCCCAAAAAATACAACTGAGAAGGGCAGGAAAGGGCTTAGCAGCACAGATTTATAAACAGAAAAAGCGAGGCTGGCCATGTCTTCTTTCGGGAGCAGGCACGAGACAGTACTCCAGAAACAAGCGCGCCTGAGTCCACGCTGGCGTGTCTGATGGGCTCATCTTGGGGGTAGCACTGGTGTTTGAGAGTGCTACTGCCCTGGGCCAAGTGGCAACGCACCAACCTCAACACCTCCCCATCAGTCGGAAACAGCACTGGAGGATTCAGGTGGCTCAACCTTGTCCTTCCCCTCATAGGCCATGGAGGGCAGGCAGGAAGACAGGGCTAACCACCACAGCCGCCTTCAAGCCTTCTATGAGACTGGGCCACTCACACACACTTCCCCTAGAATACTTTTCTCTAATAGTTTTCATTCCCAAGGTCTGGGGGGAAGCAGAAACAATAAGCAAGTACCAATAAAATTTAAAAAAAAAAAAGTGCCAATAAAAAATTAAAAGAAAAAAATTCAAGCTTTTAAAAGAGACTTACCTCTTCCCTAAATTGGCTGTTTAACCATATACATTTAAAACTTCGCCTGTTTTCAAAGTCTGTGATTTTCATTTTCAGCTATTGAGAAAAGAGAGTCACTTCAGACACGCTTCCACAAACAGCCCGAGCCGTGTCTTTACTCCCCACAGTGACATTAATTTGGACTCATACCTGCTGATAGTAAAGTTTCTTAGGTTGTCTAGGCTTGAAGAATTGTAGAAGATCTCTTAAAGTACCTTCATAATTATGTCTAAGAGGATTACCTGGGCCATCCCTATAACTACACAAGAAAACAGCATATAAACAAATGACCTGTTCATTTGCCTAAAACAAACATCCGTGAAGAAGCATCAAAGCACACCGCCTTCCTCCGCCTGCACTTGACGCCTGAACCTGTGTGGGGTTTAGCTACGATACGCCTGCTTCCCGAGACCTAAGGCCCTCTGCTGTCCCACCGCAGCGCTTCTCTGGCCTGGTGACACAGTTCCCTGAAGCCTGGCAGGGCCGACCCAGCAGGACCCGTGGGAGACGTGTGGATGAGGTATATACAGTAAGTCTGGCTCTAGATGAGGCTGTCAATTATTTTGAGATTTTGCAGTAGTGTGGTCATTTTGTGAGTGGTGACAATTCTATATCTGAAACTAAGCAAGCAATGGCGTGTCGGGTGAAGCGGCTAGCTACGTATTAACATTAGTTCCGAGATGTTTCGATGAACCATGGTGAGCATGCAGTAAAGGCCAAATGACAAGTGTCTGTGGACATGGCTTACCCTTGAGACTTGAAAAACTGGAGCAACATGGGGTCTGTGTTAAGCCTCTGTGCAACTGTCTTTGCCACCTGGGAGGACGACATGGGCCAGAAGACAAAAGGAAAGGTTCAGATTTTCCAGAAAGACAAAAAATTAAACTCGTTGTTAAGCTTAACATATCCCTAGTTATCTGGTTACATTATTAAAGAAACGAGATACGAGCAGTGTGAATTTAAATTCCCTAGAATTTCACTATCTAACAAGAATAAACCAAACCCCTTAGCGTATCACCACGGGAGTGCATGTCTGATAAAGGAACTTCTAAAGAGGTTTTCACTTTAATGTGAGGTCTACAGATCTTCTATTTTTGGATAATTTTTTTTTTTAATGGTAGTTGTAAAGAATATACACTTGGTATGTTATAACTGAAGCAAAGGAGCTATTAAAACTATCACCTCTCATACCAAATTGTGCCAGGGGTAGAGAGGATTGTGTGCGACAAACACTCCAGTGCACAGAAGGGGGCCAGGTATTCACACTGATCCACTTCTCGTGAGAATGTCCCCCAAAGAGAACATAACTAGCTCCTTGTGAACCAAACCCATAAGATGGCTTCTTCAGCAAGTATTTTAAAAAAGAAATTGGGCTTTCTGGTGTGGAATCTGAAGAGGAAAGGGATTTATCAAATACCTGGAAATAATTCATTCTATTGGATAACGTAACAACAAATCCAGGATCATTAGGGATTGTTTTATCACAGAAAATGACGTCGACACGGTGGTAGAGGTCTCGGAAATACTCCTTTGCAGTGGGTAGTTCGCTGTTATCATTTTCGGGGTCATCCCTGGAAACAAGACAGTTGGCTGGTTGAGTGAAAGTCTGCACTGGTCCAAACGGCGTCAGCAGGCGCTTTTGCACCATGGAGGCAGGCCCCCGTGTAGCTCTGGGCCCGCCTCCTTTCAAGCAGGGTGCAGTAAAGGCAGCCACGTACACAGGTGTGCTCTGGGTCAGGCACTAGGCTCACGCTTTATCTCCTTGGTCTCTCGACAAAAACCAAACACACATAAAAGCCGAGATAACACCACCCCGCCCCACTTTTACAGTCTCGCAGTCAGGGGTGTTGCCCACGGAGGGCATGTGGCAGAGCCCACTCTCTTGATCCTGAGTCGGCAAACTACAGCTTTTGTGCCAAAAGAGCAGAGCTGAGTAGTCGCTAAACCTGAAGTATTTACTGTCTGGCCCTTTAAGGAAAAGCCTGCCAACCTCCGCTCTTGACCTATGAGCTCAGAACCCCATCCCCAGAAAGCCAGGTGCTACATCAAGCTGCTTTCCAACACTCAAGTGTCTAAGACCATCCTTCTGTTTGACATGTCCAAATCCATTGCCATCGAGTTGATTCTGACTCACAGTGACCCCACAGGACAGGGTAGAACTGCCCCATAGGGTTTCCAAGGCTGTAATCTCTATGGAAGCTGAATGCCACATCCCTCTCCCGTGGAGCTTCTGAGTTCAAACTGAGAGCTTAACCACTGTGCCACCAGGGCGCCCTGTTTTACACGTAGACAGATTTGAAGAAATCACCTACGTAGGCACATTCTAAGGAACTACATACATTTTAAAGGAAGGAAAACAATTTTGCTATTCCATAAAGACTTTCCCCATTTCATTAACAGTAATCACACCCACTATAGATACTTTTAGAAAATAAGAGCGTTAAATGACAAAAATGTTCACCATTGCTAATTCCAAAACCCAGAGAATGCCAACTCCTGTTAACGTTCTGAGAATCTTGAAACAAAGCATGGCTCAGGGTCTAGACACAATTTGTTTCCTGGTTCTAAGACTCATGGAAAAAAAATATATTAGTACTAAGCACAGTGCTTTAAAAAATACATACTTCTGAAACACTATGATATCACCATCCATTAATTCATCAAGGGCTTTATCAAGAGACACATCATAGTCCTGGATTCTCTCTGTTAAATTCGGTTTAACTTCCTGTAAGAAAAGATAGGAAATCATTACAATGCAAGGTTTGGCTAATGTTGAATATGGCCATAAAGTACGTAATACCCATTTCCACATACATACACAGTATTTTCCCTGCACCCAAGTCTATCCACCTTAAATGTTAATGGAAAATCTAAAAATGTGGTCCTCAAGATCTTGGGAGGCCACAATAACAAATTCAGGGCTAGTAAAACAAAAGTATTTCCCCACACTGCTAAAGATGTATTGATTATGGAAAAATAAACCATCATCCAAACCTCATAGAGGATAAGACTAGTATCTTGGATAAATCCTGCTCTGTCACACATAACTGGGAGCAAGTCACCTAGAATAAAAAAGATGAAAAAAATCCATAGCTGTGATACACCAAGACTGGGTCAAAATCTACTTAGAAGATGCCTGCAACAAGGACTTACGTATTTTACAGGATATTGGTGTGTAGATATGCCCACAGTAATTTAAGCTCCGCGTTTTGGGATCATACATCTTCAAAAACAACATCACATCATCTATGAGGTTAATGAACAGGTTTTGTTAGGATCTTTACACTCATTACAATGTTCAAGAAATTAATAGTAAGCTTAGCAACTCACTGAGAACTGAAATGCCAAATTAAGGCATCTAATAAGTTACTATGCCAGCTAAGGTTGATCCTATGACTGCAGAGACAGGTTCCAAACATCAAACCCACTGGAAACGCTACATTCATTCACCCTGAGCAAAGAGGGTGGTGAGTGCAGTGAACTCTGGAATCCTGGTTTCAATACCACGCACTAAGTATTGGCTAGCCCAGCGTTACCAGGGGATCGACGTTAACGGCTGTGTGTCTCTGACGGAGAAGTGGCCACCTGAGCAATAAGAATCAATGAATCGATAGCAAGGGCCAGCAAACTCTAACCCACCTGTGCTGCAAATGAAGCTGTACTGGAACACGGCCAGCTCGTTCACTTACATGTTGTCTACGGCTGCTTCTGCATCAGAGAAGCAGAAGCTTCTGGCAGGGGCAGGATGGCCCGCAAAGCCTAAAATATTTACTGCCTGCCCTTGACAGAAAATGGGAGCCAGTCTCTAGCTGACGATCTGTCAACTATGCACAAGACCCAAGCGATTAGCAAAACACGGGGGCCAAGATTAAGGATGTACCATGACGTGCCAACCCCGTTACCCCCCCACCCCAGAAGACACTTATCAGCCTTGACGTCACTGAGGGGCCTTAACAGTGTAGAGATTTGTTGAGCACTTCTGGAATTAATCAACATGGTTTTTCTGCGAGGGAAAAACTCCTTACTGTGTGTTTAGTCTAGGACCAACTCTCCCACTCTAAAGGCAGGTGGGCATTTCATGGGCACTTACGATCTTTATCAAACTTGGGTAACGTTGCCCCACTAGCAGCCAGCTCAGGATCAACTGTTTCCAGGAATATTGTCCAAGGGTTTTCATTATCGCTGAGTTCAATCATCTATTTCCAAAAGAGACACTACTTTCAGAAGATATGAAGGGCTTTGGTGACGAAGCAAAAACTCCACTTGAGTTCTGCAGCAAACGTCCACCTCTATCTAACCGGACCCAAACAGAAACGAGCTACACTAACCGCAGACGACAGAAAGGTGCCTGCAGAGTTCCAGGCGAGCTGTGCCATCAGCTGAAATACTTACTGTTTTATTACCATCAGCTTCATTATCTAACATTGCTGGTCGTTTGGTTCCATTACTCCTTGCTTGCATGGGCCATAATCGAATCTGATCTTGTGGAAATCCCTGAAAAAATTTAAAAAAATAAATTACAACAAATCCAGTTCACATTTTAATCTCATATAAATTAATGATTCTGTGATTACAAGGGAAAAAAAAAATCATAATTTTAACTCTCCCCTTGGATTTGTCCAGGGCTGTGCCCACTTGGCCCACTGTCGCCCACCCAAAAAAAAAAGGTGAAGGAAAAGATTAATATTCACAATTAACATGCACACTCAATTTCCTTCTTTGCAGATTTTACTGAAAAATTAGGTCAAAAAGACAGAAACATGTTTCTGAAATCCTTGGGTTTCTCCATACCAGAGCTCAGAGCTCAGGATTTTTCTCCTACCCAGAACTCAGGTGGGGAAATGTGATCGGGTTATCTGCCTTGCTTCAGGGTAGGGCCAGGACACAGTGCCTACCCAGAAAGGTAACACAGCATCCTATCTTCTCTAGCTTGGAAGAATGAAGATGGAACTTGGGAGCCAAAATAAGAGTACAACAACAGCACAGTTGGGACTCACCATGGTCTGGGAGAGGTTCTGAACAAACTCGGCAAGTGAGGAGTTTTTCAACACTTTGAACACAGTGTATTTCACTTTTTCTTCATCGTACATGTCATTTCCTTGGTGGCCACAAAACTGGTCCTCGGCAACGATCTGGAAATCCACATGGAAGTACAGAACAGAGCTTACAATTGCCATGAAAAATCAAACGAGACCCCACACTGATGAAGACTAGGCTTCAACAGTGAAATGCTAAAAACACTTTTGTTTCAAAGCAACTTCTTCAGGAGACCAAGGGAGGCAAGTTTCAAAATGACCAAGAACTATGTATCAGACATTTATTTAGGTAAGACAAAACCTACCTTTCAGATTTCAGCCTCAGCAGTCACTCACCCTTAACTCATCTACCAACAGATGTAACTAGCCAGCCGTGTGGGGATCTCCAAATAGTAAACAGCCAGGACTTTTGCAGATAGTCAAACGCCTCTTCATGTTTCCCAATACTGAACTGTGACCCAAAAGCCTCTGAAAACGAACCTGCTCTAGCTAAGCCCACCTTCCGTCTGCGTCCTGCTCCCCGTGGTCAGCCTGGAGAGCCACCACCCCCACCCTCCTGCCCCACCTGGGACCAGCCCCTGCAGTTCTGCTCTTCCTGCACCTTGAGCTCAGCCTCCCATCTGTGCGTTCTGTAAACACGCTAACACACGGTTTATCATTGCTGTGCCTGGTGGACTGAGTTACTTCCCACATCTCAGCCCCTACTCCTGAACTGGACTGAAATTCCAAACCCTCAGGAAATTGGCCTTAGCAGTCCCTCAATCCATACCTGCCAGGCTGACCAGAGGCCACATGTTAAAAACACCACCAGCTGCCCAGAGAAGCTCAGAAGCAATCACCCTGAGCTGTTAATGGTTACTCCTGGGCCGGGATCGAGCTCACCCAAGTGCTTGGAGCTGCTTCTCTCTCGGCAGCCAGTCACCCCACGCTACCTGCCAACCCGAGGTCCCCAAACGCCTGACCTGCACTTGCATATAGAGATGGGCTTCCTGCCGCTCCTTCCGCTTCTGCGCCTCAATCCTTTTCTCTTCCTGCAATCGTTCCACCAACTGCTGAGGAATATCATGGTCTGTGACAGCTTGTAAAACTTCACCTGCAGAGACAAACGTGGCTTCTCTCACCTTTCTGCAGATTCTACTTTCCTCTACTTCCCCTACTGCCACTGAGTCGATTCCAACTCATAGCAACCCCATGTGATGGAGCAGAACCGCCCCATAGGGTTTCCAAGGCTGTCATCTTTACAGAAGCAGACGGCCACACCTTTCTCTCGTGGAATGGCTAGTATGTTTGAACCACTGACCTTTTAGCAGCCGAGTGTTTTAATCATTGCACCACCAGGGCTTCTTTCCTCTCCTTAAAACCAAAACCAAACCCGTTGCTGGCTGAGTCAATTCCGACTCACAGCGACCCTACAGGACAGAGTAGAACTGCCCCTTGGGTTTCCAAGGAGCGGCTAGTGGATTCGAACTGTTGACCTTTTGGTTAGCAGCCGAGCTCTTAACCGCTGTGCCACCAGGGCTCCTTCTGTCTCCTTAGAAGGTACTAACTCTACGTCACCATTAACAAAGCAATCTATCAAAGGGAAATGACTTGGTGTCGGGAGTCCACATCAAAATCCACAGCCCAATGCAGCTGAGGGGTTCAGGTGACAAGCGTGCAAGTGCACCATGGGCACACACGAGAACCAGGGGTACTCACTCAGCTTTGACTCCCTGATATAAACTAACATGTAGGCGTTAGTGCAGTGGCGGACAGACAGGTCATCATCATGGCCCCCGTAATTGTGCTCGATGGCTTCTTCTTTAGTGCACCGCGACACCACGTCGTCATCAAACTTACACCACTGTAAAGAGAAGCAGCAAGACGTCAGCAGAGAGGAGGCACCAGGACAAGCGGCCGGCATGAACCGAGCGTGTGCAGGGCACGGACAGGGGCAGCCCTAGGCATCCTGCTGGCAAAACTCCTCAGTCCTGTTGCCTTCCTCATCCCACATTCTCTGGGAAGTGCTAGCATTCAACCACTGGCAATTCTTGTAATCGACTCAACCTAGCCATTTTCTACTTAGGTTCAATCTGCTGACACCACTAACTCTTTATGGAATTAAAGCTATTCAGAGTACACCTAACTCAGCTAGGAAAGCTGAAATTTTATGATGTGGTTATAAAATTAAATGGGACATTTTACCTATTCCATGACATATGATGGCAACAAGTAAAGGGTCTGATGCGGGGAAGAAAAGCCAACATAGCTTGTACTTAACAGGTTCTTCCCAATCTTTTCATCTTGGATCAAGCCATTTCCAATGATAGTATACTCTAGTCAAAAGGTGCTCTCCATTGTTTACCAGTGCTGGGGGCGGGGGGGATCCCCTCCATCTAAGTCCTTCAACATGGGCTAGGCGGGCTCAATCCCTGCTCTGACAGACTGGCCCTACGGTCTCGGACAGAGACCCTGAGACCCTCGTCTGCCAAATGGGTATCAATCACCAGCAAGCCGACGTGTCTGATGGCCGCAGTGAAGATGAGATGAAGAGATCTGCGAGAAAGCAGGAACTACAGGGCATCACCCAGAGCGCTAAAAGGCAGCACGCACGGAATCATTATTCGGCTTCTATACGTAAGCCGAAAATATGTGCTCCCTGTTAGACCCTATAGGGTTGCTGTGAGTTGGAACAGACTCAACAGCAACGGGCTTGGTTTTTGGTTTGGTATTAGATATAAAGATACTGGGTCCTTAACGGTTAAGGTTAAGCACTTGACTATTAACTGAAAGGTTGATGGTTGGAGTCCACCCAGAGGTGCCTCAGAAGGAAGACCTGGTCATCTACTTCCAACAAATCAGCCATTAAAAACGCTATGGAGCCCAGTTCTGCTCTGACACACACAGGGTCGCCATGAGTTGGAATCGACTCAACAGCAACTGGTTTATTAGACATAAAAGAATTCTGTAAGTCCCGGCATTTGTTACAAACAGGCAGATACATACATGAAGTATGCACCACTCATTTATTGTTCACCTTTGAAGTTTTCGCAACTAATGGGACAGGAAAACAGCATACATTTTAGCAGCCACAGAACATACAGATAAATTAGAGGCCATGACAGACTCTTGATCTAGCAAGCCCATCAAGCAGGAACAGGAAAAGGCTGAAGCTTGGCTTCAGTAGTAAACCTCCCACCCGTCTCACGTTCAACTCAGTCCCGTCGGCACTTACTTTGCCGTCCCCTTTGGGGTTTAGATAAACCACGTAATGTCCACCATGGTTATCTCCACTGTGAACCAGGACTGCGTGAAGAATGTAATTGGCAGGGTCCTTAGGATCAGTTTTTTGCAAAAATTCATCGAGTGGTAACTGTTCGGGGAACTCAAACCTATTAAAAAACATTTTCAGAGAAATGCAGCTTTCATTTCCATGTAAAATATTTCACTGTTGGGCTTTACTTATTGTCAACAGGGCTCCTGACTGAACAGCTCATCTTTCTTGGGAGAAGGAAATACGAATTTAACTCAGAAGGTCTTCTCAACTATTTGGAGGTAACCCCTACTTATTAGGACAAATTAACTCTTCATATATCACTACAGAATCTGAAGCTAGAATTGATGAGAAAAATGCCTATAAAGCATCGTGTTATCTAACAGCTTGAAATTCAAGGATGGAACACAACAGTCGGTCCTGTAATAAATGCACACTGCCAGTGTTCTAGGATGTGAACAACTCTGAAAGTATTAATGAATGGATCTGAAAGTCCAGGAGTTAGACCACTAAGAAGATACCGCAGTCTGAGAAGCGTGGAAAAATCAAATTTGGAGAGCAAAAACGCGGAATCATCACCACCTAATGATTTCTGAAGACTTGGTTTTAAATAATTTGCTTCATAAAAGTATGGCTTACATGGTCAAATTTAATCATCGGTGGTGCCAACTTAAAAATGCCTTCAGGAAAAAGATCAGGCTGGGAAGGTGGGGGCTGCAGTCAAGGCAGAAAGGCACCCTGCGCCTAAAGGTTCAAATCTTCTGATTTCCTAAAATGCTAAAATCTGGATTTTTCACGTAAAATCTTGCGATCTTTAAAATGTGGGCAACTGATTCCAATAAAAATAAAAGCAAGGTGAGGATGCAATGAGACGTGCTGGCAGGTTGGAGCTGACAGGGGGCTGCCCGCTGGGGCGGCCTGGTCAAGGCCCTTACGCATTCCACAGCCAGGGATGGGAAGCGGGGAGCACAGATCTAGCTGGCGACAGGTCACCTGATTCAGCTGAAGTCTCCGTCCAATGTGAAGGGTGACTGACCAACCTCTGCCTATTGGTTCATAAAATAATTAGGATAAAAATTCTGTATTTGAAACCAAATAAAGTAGCACGGAGTATCACTCTTGTATCTCGTATTTTAGGCAGGGCTTCAAATCGGTTCAAACTCCTACTGCGAATTTGCATCTCCACCCCAGATATACTGAATCAGAATCTACAGTTTAACAAGATCCCCAGGTGATTCTTATGTGTAGTAAATTCTGAGAACCACTGCTCTACCAGTGGTTCTCAGAACTGGTCCCTAGCCAGCAGCATTAGTATCACCTGGCAACTTGGTAGAAATGCAAAATGCAACAGAGGTTGGAACCGGAATGAATCGGGTCAAGTCCTGACTTTAAGGGTCTGGAAAGCAACACCTGAAGCGGGGCACACACACCCACTACTTCAGCATTCTTAAAGCTTCTAGCACATTCTGCAAGTCAACAGCAACTGAGAGATTATAACATACTGAAGAATCTTATTTCAACAAATACATTAACATCAAATTCCACATCTGAGGTAACATCTACATTCTGGCCAAGAACAAATCTATTAGAAATCCTGGTGAATGGAAAATCTGCGAAGCAGAAAGAAGTGTATCCTCATGGATTGACATCTGCTACAGCGTGGAGGGGACCTGGGGTTGGGCAAAGTATCCTTGAGAGGAGACACAATTAGAAAGAAGCGGCCTCCAAATCTCTTCAGTACACAAACTACTACCCCTTTAAAATTACAGTTCATGGGACACCCGGGTAGAAAGGACAGCTAAGTAAACCAAAGATCAGACTGAAAACATGAAGACTGTTAGTACTGACAGCAACCCCCTAAATCAGGATTATGGTTAAATTGTAACTTTCACATGTTGCTATAGATTACCTATCATTGATCTTGATATTTTGGTCCGTCTGAGGGTCATACATAAATCTCATGAGTTGTAGATGTAACACTGGTGGCAATGTTAGAAATTTCACGCCTTTCTCTGCTTCCTGAACATTGAAAAAGAAACGCAAATTTAGTTCACCTCTACTTGTTCTTGAAGCAATGAAAGCAACAGCTTTTCGGCAAGTTTGGAACATGTGTGGGGACTTCTGGTGGGGAGAGGGAGGGGGTCTAGGTAGCCATCGAGGTGCCTTTAAGACGCTTTGTTTATGTCTGCAGCGCATGCCTTGGCTAATTAAAATAAAGCTGTAGCACTGTGCGCGGGAGTTTCCTCTGTCTTTGGATTATGCTCCTTCTCGATGTCCAGCAACAGGAACAGTGAAGTAAACTGAGATTTAGACATTTCACTGCAGTAGCGTACAGCCGGTAAACAGTATGAAAAATAAGGAGAAACACGGAAAAATCACTAAATGGAAAAGCAGAAAACTGTGACTAAATTATGTAAAATCAGGGATGCCTGAACAGAACAAGAACGAACGGCAGTCCAGGGCCGGAGGGTCCGAAGGGCAGTTTCCTTCCCCAGGACTCTCCCCTGATGGTTGCGAAGTCACATGTTCCGGAGCACACGGTAAGTGCTTCCTGTTCAATACTGCCTTTTCAGATGTTCCGATTTAGGTACAGCAAAGCTCTTTGACCAACCAACATGGCCTTTCTGTTACTGCCGGCCTCTGTGCTACAGGATCCCTCCCCCACCACGCCATCCTCTGAACAAGGCCTCTCTGGAGGGACCCCGGTGACTATGCCCTCACCCCTTTCCCCCAGCTCTGCCTCCCTCAGCCAGCTCTCTTTCCCCCTGAAGCCAGCCCTTGGTAATCTCAACCACCACCAGGCACTGGAGGCCCTTGTCACACATCTCACCTACGGCTGTATTTCGAACCTAAACTTTCTTTCTTAAGCCATAAACCCGCATCTGCAGCCACCTGCTAGGGAACGTGCGCCTGGAGGAGAGGCAGCTGTGCCGAGGCACACCTGTTTGGCAAGGTTCTTTGCTGTACATTAGGACAGGGCATCTCTGGAAAGACGAAAACAAAAACCCAGGAACCTACTCCACAGAAAGGAATGGCATGTTTTTAATACAACTTGAAAAATAATACATAGTGTTTACCCCGACCCCAAAATACCCAGGGTGGGTAAAGGCAATTCTTGTGAGTTGACTGAAATGTTTCTGAAGCACAGCAGGTTGCCTCTGTTCTAGTTACTGTTTGCAAAACAACTTTCTGATCTACCATTCGGTGTCCAGAGTGCTCTGCCCAGGCCGGAGAAGGCCGGATCTGCGCCCACTGCCAAAAAGATAAGTTTGCCCTGTGATTCACAAACTGGCAGGCTTGTAACCACAGGCCAGGCCGAGAAGTTCAATCAGCTACTTTATTTGAAGAGTGAGTCAAGGTTATGAGCTTGCAACACAGATCCTGGATCACTGGATCCACAAAGATGCTGCGGCTCCCAAAGACCGGCCTGGCCAGCAGCCAGGAACCCAAGCCCCACTCTGCGTCCTGTCTGTGCTGTCTGACGTGGGCTGGGCGCGTGCTCACTGCTCCGCCAGGAGCCCAAAGCCCTGTCGAGGCCGTGCAGGAACAAGCAGACCACCAAGTACTCGTGGAGTGCACACAGAATGCACTTCTCCTTCTAGAAATCCACTACGGCAAAAATAAAGTACAAGTGACTATTCTATTTGGGACCTGAAAGAAAGCTCCAGCACTGACACCAGGAGGTGAGGAACAGCGGCCAAACAAGCCAACACCTTACAGCTCTGACATCCTCGGACGTGCAGGGGGGCAGCTCTACCTCTGAGAACAAGCACCCCTCCAACGTCCTGCTGGCCGCCCCCTTCCCTCCACCTTCACAGATGATACAATCAGAGTTCTCCAAAATACAGCGTCCAGATCATGAAATAAAACCCCTTTGTGTCCTAAATGCCAGAAACATATGAAACAGGACTACTGAATGTTTAATTTGCTGTTAGGCAAAATATTTAGAAATAAAAGGAAATGCTAAACAGGACACAGGTACAAAATTCACAAGTTACCTGCAAGCCGTGCTCCCCGGCATCGTATTTATTGTCACCGTCTAGTTGTTCTACTGCCACATAATCCACAAATGATTCAAAGACTAAAGAGAGAAAAAGAGAGAGAAGTCAACCAAAGTGATCACTGAACCTTAGATAACCTAGTCCATCCAGCTATTGTTATTTACATATATATATATATATATATATATACACACACACACACAGAAGTAACGGAGAAGAGAGGTAAGTAACTGAAGGTGTGAACAGCATCCTCTGTTGAAGACTGCAGCTCAATGTGTCGTTACCACCGTCACCAACCCCAGCAACAGTTGCGAACAAATGCTAAGGACAAGGGCATGTTTCTTAAGGGCATTATAAATCGTAACACGGAGGGAAAGATTCAGGGTTTTCAAAACTTGTATCAGGTAACAGTAAAGTGCAAATTTTGACCAAAACATTTATGTTAAGGCTACGATTATTTCACAGTGGGGAAACAGCCCAAGAATAAACAGACCGATGGAACAGAAGAGTCTAGAAACAGACCCACACAGGTATGAACACTGACTGACGGCAAGGGTGCGCCGCAGAGTGACATCCACACGGGATAGAGGGTGGGGAGCAATCACGAAGGCCCACCACACACACACACACACACACACACACACACACACACACACACAGTTCCAGGTGGAGAGTAGACAAAACAGAACAGACAAAACAATAAAGGTTCCAGAAGATAACAGCACACCTATGACTTTAGGATAAGCAAAAACTTCTTAGGACACAAAATGCCAAGATGGATGCACTGGATTTCACTAAAACTAAGAAATTCTGCTTAACCAACAGCAATGTTGAGAGGGAAAAGGTAGGCTACGCACTGGGCGAAGATCTTGGCATCCAACACAGAGCTACTATCCAGAGTATGTCACGATGGAGTGACAGCAACTGGATTTATGCTGCTTGCAACACAGATGAATCTCACAGATAAAATGCTGAGTGAAAGAAGACAGACATGATTCCATTTATGCAAACACTGAAAACACGTCAACTTAAGGTGGCAGAAAACAGTGCTTTCCTCTGAGGGAGCGGTGATGGCTCAGAAGGATGTGGTGGGACTTCTGGGTGCCGGTCAATGCTCTATTTCTTGACTGGAACAGAGTTTACAAGCGTGTACTCTTTTGGGCACTTTTCCGGATTGCGGTACATTTCAACAAAAGTACGTGTTTAAGTGAAACATTAAACCAAAGCAGAAATTATCAAGAGCTCCTACCATTATGTATGGGAAACTTACTGTTTTTCTTTCCTTTTATACTTAGCTGGATATCATAATAATCTTCTCTTCTATCAGATCGATAGTCTACTTCTTTACATTGGATGTAGGACTACAAGTAAGGAAAACAAGGTGGCTTAAGTATTGGCAGTAAAAAAAATTACCATCTTACAATATTTTAGAAATCATTCTTTAAAACTGGTCATCACATACCACCATCTTGCCTCTGAATAACTTAGGTATGGTGCCTTCTACGCACGTGCCTTTCATCTTATTTTCCACGTTATCAAGCAACTGAAAGAGAAAAGATTTGGCTTTAAAAAAAAAAAAAAATGCGTGTTTAACTAATATACAGTAACTTGACAACAGTACATTTAGAAACTTGACAAGGAAATTTCAATGGCCAAAGAAATTCTAGACTACAAATATCATGACCCTTGGCATGCAATTATCAAAAAAACATACAAAATCTTCTTCCTCGGTTGGGTATTTATAAAAAAAAAATCTACATGCAACAGTTGAGATTAAGCCCTTTATACAGCCTTTGGGATGAATTAGTAATCTGTAGTGCCTTTTGAAGCATTTTATATATTCATTTTACCTCTGTGGAAAATCATGTAAATTGATCACTAAACTCGTAATGGTCCACACCAAGAGATTTAATGAGGTTCAGCCTGTCAACAGGATTGACTGGTCTGTCCATGGATATTTAATGAACTGGATTCAACCCAGCTAGTGCTGCAAAAAAAAAAACACACCTTGCCCAGCCAATCACCTTGAATAGCCATTTCATGTTGTGTGTGGGGGTGTGTGTGTCCTCCTGACGGGACAATGATCGTACAATTAGCAGAACAGGAGGTGGGCCTCAATGACAACACGAAGGAGGGCACTGCAGGCTGAAGTATTAACAGAAGTCACTATTCTGAAGTGGTTCAGGACAACCAGGGCCGCTGGCTAAGTCAATCCATTGTATCTCTGACTTGTATCTCATGTATATTTACCAGTTGGACACATTAAGCCTATCCCTATTTAAATTCAAGCCTCTCTTAACACTTCAAGCAATTAATCCTTTTTTCATCCTTTCTGGCTTTTAAACTAAATAGCTGCTGCTGTGTCTTTCTAGCTTCGTTTCTGTCCTGAATAAAGATGGGTGTGTTTAAACTACAGTGACATGAAGTAAGTCTGAGGTTTTACTTGGTACCAGCTTCTGACATTGCTTCAAACATTCAATGTCAGGACCATACAACTGTTGCTTGGAACTTACCACTCGACATAGCTCTTGAACATCGTGCTGCATGAAGCTGTCTAAAGTCTCCCACCTTTGAAAGAAAATGAGCACCTACGTTTAAACGCCCAAATTTCAAATTAGAGTAAAAAGTTTAACTCAGGTTAAAGAGACTAAACTGTAAATAGTAATCAACCAATACTCTTAAGTTCATTTCTTATGAAAGTTTTTTCTTTTTTTGGAGGGGGGGTGTTATAATTCAAGGAAAAAGGAGCCCTGGTGGTGCAGTGGTTAAAGCACTCGGCTGTTAACTGACTGGTTGGAACCCACCAGCCACTCTACATGAGGAAGACGCGGCCGTCTGCTTCTGTAAAGATTACAGCCTTGGAAACCCTACGGGACAGTTCTACTTTATCCTACAAGGTCACTATGAGTTGGAATCAACTCAGTGGCAATGGGTTTCAGTTTATAATTCAAGGATAAATTGAATGTATCAGTGGAGATCAAAATGCTCACAACTTCTGTATCTTGTTCTGAAAATCTAGGTGCTAGGGGAGGTGGTGGTTGCAGGTAAATATACATACATCTAAATATTACACATGCTCTTTTCTTGACAACTTTCAGCGGTGAATAATTTCTGAATCAAAATTCTAAAAGAAAGCTTCCATTTCCAAAGAGGTGAAACAAAATACAATGATAAAAACACTCTGACATAATTAAATGGCCAAGCCTCCCTACATGGAATGCCTACACTCTAGTCTCCACTCACTCATCCTTACAAAGAAAGCAGCAGAATGGGAAAGGCCGATTTCTAATACATACCCGAATGATTTGGTTAGCTTTTTTGTTCCTACAGGTTTATCACTGTGCTGTAATTCATAAAACACTCTTTGCAACGCTAAAGGGACGCTCTTAGATGAATCATCACCCTCTGTTGGCATCATGTACACAGCCTGAAAGAATGGATTTGGAAATAAGAATTTAATTTTATGTGAAAGTATCATTTCTAGGATCGCAATGACTTAAAGGTAATTGCTCGGGCTTTTAACTATCCCCAAATAGGTCAGGAATATTTTTTAAAACTCATATAAGTCTTTAGAGACAATTAGGAAAATGTAAGAAATTCAAAAGAATTTTAAAAATTACCTATGGTTTATCACCATGCTGTTCATATGAAGTTCTTAAAACGCAAATGACATCCTACGTTAAGCTCGAGGTATGACTGTTATTTTTATTAATATTCTTAATGAAGTTGTATCTATAATTAGTGATCATTAGACACTGCAGCCAGCAATTTTTCAATTAGTTGACTTTTCAAACGTTGCCGCTAATAGCTTTTACATTAAAAAAACTGTAACGTCAACTTTTATATCAGGTTACTTCTTATGAGAATTAATCCAAGTTAGGCCTGTAAAATTATGTTAGCTGTAGTAAAATTGTGATCATCCAAGTTAGCTTAAAAAGGAGCAGGCTGATCTACGCACTAGGGAATATAAACAAGTGGCATCAAGCAGGGCGCTTCTTGGTGGAGGTGGTGCTCAGTGGCATAGGGAGAGAACACTGGAAAGTTTGCTAGCAGGGCTTTGCATATCCCTTAACATACCTGAAAACAGAGGGTGAGTGGGAGGCTGGGGGAGAGAAACACCATCCATTTACCTTTCGTAGTTGATTTGTGAAAAACAAAGTCTGTAGCAGGCTATTCATGTAACAGGTCGCTCCCTGATTCTTCAACCCGACGTAGCCTGTGTGCTTCTTTGAATCCCACCTAAAAGACCAGCATGAAGTGGAAGGTCAATGTCACGGCAATCGTGACGTTCAGGATCAACAGTGCTGTGACTCTAGGGGTTAGTTCACAACCTTGGAAGCAGGCTAGCTATACCAAACGGCCCTGGTTAAAATGTGTTATGTGTGTGTGTGTATTTAGAGAATTAAAAATAACAATAAAACATTTTTTAAAAACGCCAAGTGTCCTGAATTATAGGCGGTTGTTTTAAAAATCATAATCATAAAAGAAGGTGATAATGGTTAAACAGATTTTGACAAGATTGAACCCAGAAATCTGTTTTGATTGGGATGGCAAACAAAAAAAACAAAAAACCTCAGTCCAGATTTCCAGTCAGAGGCGCGTCACGAGCACCGCCACCACCACAAACAGAACACCCGACACTCGAACACAACCCGAGCACAGGTCTGAAAGTGCTACCCGAGGTGATTCTGACCCCTGCTCTTCAAGCTGAAATCCATCCAATTACAAGGAAAGCCAATAACTCATATTCGGAATTTACTTTTCTCAGACTCCAAAAACTAACTCTGGGGTAGGGAAAGAGCTGTCATGAAGAATCCCAGGGCAGAATTAAACTGCTCCAGGGTAATACACCCTTAGGTCTGGGCCAAGCTCTCCAGGCGTCTGCTGGTGGGACAACGGGACTCCAGCAGCAGCTCAGCTATTCCAGCCCCACTGTGCACTGGCCCCCCAGCATGGAGGTGCGTAGCGGGGAGGAGGGGTAAAGGGAGGCTTACAGACATAAAAACAGGGAGACAGTAAAGAATGTTCATACCTTAAAGTCAAGCCAAAAATACCAGCTGGATGACCTTAATTGCAAAACGCCTTTTGGAATGGAGATGCTCTTTTTATGGGATACCCACCAGATAGTACCCGTCTGTATCGATGGCCCATAATCAAACGAACCATTCAGGGTGGGGACAGGGGTTATTACCATTTTGATTATTACACAGAGCCCAGGCGAGCAACTGGGGAACGGCAAAGAAAGTTGCTGTTATTCCCGTAGACTGAGTGTCCTGAGTAGAATTACTGCATAAATAGACATGAAACATCTATCGGACGCAGGCTTGTGAACTGCCCTCCTGAAATCCAAGAGGTCGCTCTACCACACAGTGTCACCAGCAATGAAGGAAACCTGCAAACTTCACAGTGAGCCCCCAGCCCTAGGTGCTACCCTAAAGCAGCTCACAGCACCCTTTCGTCTCTGCATGCAATTCTTGTTGGCCACTAAACTTGGCGGCCCCCATAGACTTACCTTCACTTTCCACTCTCTTGGCTCCATTCGGTCTCCTCACACCCAGGATCAGCCCCAAATCCCTCTCTCCCAACTCCACCTCAAGTCCTCCTTGGCACAAACTAGGTGCCTCACCTCAAGAACCCAATGATGCATCCACACAACTTCTCAAACGGATTCCCCACCCTCCCCGTCCCCAAACAGGCCTCACTCTCCTGTATCCTGCGCCTTCACCCTGGAGTCAACTCTGACTCCACTCTTTCCCTTTGCTTCTGGCTCCTCCATTCCACCAGCTGCCTGGCTGTGTAGGTCCCACCCTCTCCTCTGCATTCACAGTGCCACACCCAGGCTGCTAGAGCCATGACCCGGCCTGGACTAACAGAATGCGCTGGGCTCCCCACTGCTCTTTCCCTTGCCATTCCATCCAGGCCATCCTATGCACTCTTGCCAGAGTGGAAACAGAGGAAAAATAACACTAGTGTTTGCCACTCGGCTTCTTCCTATATCGTGTGCTACTGTTTTACCCCTGGGCAATCACCTTAAAAAGCTTGGCTTTCTACAACCCATCCCAGCTTATCCTCCTCCCAGCCTTCCATCCACTGGTCACTTTCCTGCCACTCTGCCTGATCTCAAGCACTCCCGCTTCTGTCTTTACTCCTGCTGTCCTCTCTACCTTTGTCCCTCCTCATCAACCACTGACCCAACCCCGTACACTCTTCAAGGGCAGGGGCGTCGTCTTGCACAAAGCCTCCCTGGACCCTGTGACTGGATGGTTTCTCTATGCTTACTGATGCCTCACTTATCATTTGAGCTTGCCTGCGCTTCTCAACTCTTTCTCTGCTCCCCCTCATCGTACATTTGTAATGCTCCCAGATATTTACGCCCCTGCTCTCTTAAAAAAAAGAAGAGCATCTCAGCTGTAGTTAGTTCTTCAGTGGTCTTAACTCCCCCACCAGCCTGGAAGTTCTCTGAGGACAGAAAGCCGTAACTTTGATCATGACGGTACCCCCAGCGCCTCGCACAGATTCCAGCATGTACAAACTGCTCGCTGCGTTTGTCAAACTAACAAGGCGCATGAGGCACGCATCGTAACCCATCATACCCCATCGTAACCCATTGTGACCCATCGTACCCCATCTGTGTATGTGTGGCCAGTGGGCGAGCACAGGGGATCCATTCGGGGGACACACAGACGTCCGCGAAATACGGGCCGAGGTATATTCTACTCCAGCCCAAAGCCATTTTTAATAGCCCCCAATTAAAGAAAAACTTACGCAACTCCATGGGGAGCGTCCGCCTGTACAAAGACTTCAAAAGTCACTTTGTCATCATCTATAAATCCTTTCTCAGGATCGGTCACTTCCTATGAAAAAGATAAGAATATCCAACCTGCTTAAGAACATACAGACAACTGCTCTACTCCAGAAAAACGCCGGTGCCTTGTATTTTTACAAAAACAAAACAAAACAAAACAAAAAAAAAACCCACTGCCGTCAAGTCGATTCCGACTCATAGCAAACCTACAGGACAGAGTAGAACTGCCTCATACGGTGTCCAAGGATCAGCTGGCGGATTCGAACTGCCAATCTTTTGGTTAGCAGCCATAGCTCTTAACCACTGTGCCATCAGGGGGATAAAATCCCATGTGTTATATCATCCCACTTTGACTTCTAGTTCTCAAGTGTTTCGGTTTGTTCTCTGTACAACAGGGGTCGAGCAGTGACTGCGTGGCCCCTCCAGAAGGAAGCCCTGAGGCATTCGGGGCCAAGTCCACAGTATGGACTGGAGGAAACCAGTGTCTGCCCACCAGTGTGCACGGACTAGGGCAGGGGTCGCTTGCAAGAACTCAGGCTAGAGAGCTTAGCAGTAACACCCCTCGGACTGTTCTAACTAGTCACCGCCTCTGCAGGAAGGAGCCAAATGCACCGACCTGAGACTAAGTTCCACGAATCTATCCAGCACTACCCTGACCCAGGGATGGGGCCTGAGAAGTATCATTTCTTTTAAAGGAAACTTTGCTCATCAGGAAAGCTACAAACTGCCTTTCAATATCTGACTGACAGATGAGACTTGATTCCAGATGACTGCTAAAAACCTAAGTTAGGAAAGTGGAGAAAATGCATTCTCACAGACACCTGTCCAATTTCTCCAGCGAACGTCTTGAATCTAAAATCAACAGACGGATTTAAAGAATACGAAGAATTGGGGGAACAAGCAATAATGCTTAGATCATTGGGACTAACCACACGGTTACTTACACTCCAGGCCATAAAATTGGAAAATCCCCAGTCGTTTTCTTTATGGAAGAACAAATGGCTAATCCGGCGGCTGAAGGACTTCTCGTCATCTCTGTAATTTATTATCTTCAGCACGGCTTGTGCATGACAAGACCACGACCTGTTCAACAACAAATAACAGTCTAAGCCTTGGTTGACACGTTTAACTAAAGTTTATACTTTTCTTAAAGACACTAAAACCAGCCATGACAATTCCTGTTTGTATTTCCTTTTCTCTCTCCCTTTTTGTAGGGGGCCCACATTTAACCTTTGATGGAGGAAAATGTTAAAAGGGTTTAGGGGTACCCGTATGTAGTCTGTAGTGTTTTAATTCATGGTTTTATTTTTTTATTTATTCGTTTTAAAAGTTTTTTAACGCCTAAACAATCTTTAAGCTGCTTTTTTTTTTTAATTGGTATCGATACAATACCAAGTTTCTGAACTTTAAATACTGGTCTTAGATTTTGTAAGACCAGCTTTTTGATCAGCTAATACTGCCGGTACTTAACACAGATATAATTTAAAAAGAATAGAAAAAGTAAAAGAGAATGATGACAATGGCTTTTTTTGTTGTTTGTTTTTAGATGAACAGATGGAAATCTCCTAGATTCTACTAATAAAGCTGTCACTTCTAATTGTCACCTCTGTCCCTGCAGCTTTCAGGTTCTCTGAGCAAGTCCACTCGTGCGTCCCTGTTCAGGAAGAGCGCAGAAACATGGGCTTCCAGCAGGACTAGTTCAGCGACCTGACCTGGCGGCTGTCCTACACAGCACTGGAGAACGCTGGCCATCAGCATCAAACCACAGCCACAGGAGAGCAGACCCTAGATGCAGCCGAGTCGTGGGGCAGACCACCAAGGGGTCTCTGCATCAGTGTTTAAAATGTTTAAAAACCCAAAAGATAGATCACTTTAAAGAGCCACCAAAGTAAAGGTTTGCAATTAAAATAAGGCTTTTTATGTCTGCCTTGAACACTGTGCTCTTTTAAGATCTATGTGAGATCAAATCCACAACAGCAGCCTGAAAGAGCAGATAGGAACTGCAGGGGGCGGTGAATTTATGTTAACAGGGGAGGAACAATTCAGAAAAGAAGGGTGAGAATGGCTGCACACTTTGAAGAATGTAATCAATGTCACTGAACTGTACATGCAGAAACTGAACTGGTGTATGGTCTGCTGTCTATAGTCTCAACTACAACAAAAATAAAATAAAGCTGTTTTTTAATGGGGCTATTTAAATGAGTGTTACAACTGAATCCTGAAACGGTTCAAGACTCTTAAACACAAGGGGTGGAGTGATGTCATTGGCAGTGACACTTTGTGCCCAACAATGATTCAGGTTAGAGCTGTCTATTAGACCAACACAAGTCCTGCTCCAAAACCCATTAGATGAGATCATAACGGGAACACCAGGAGGAAAAAAACTTATCCTATATATTGGCCTTGGCTGCATCCTAAAATCGGTTTGGCACTTCCTGAACATTGACGTAAAAAGAGATAGGAATGGATTATGGGCTGGAGCCAAACAAGGGCTCCAAAAGGCAACAACCTGGAGGTCGCAGGGGGACTCGGGCAGACATGGTCCTTGTGGTCTCCTTGTCACAGAATGAAAGAGCAAACAGGTGACCCATGTACCCTCAAACACTCTGTCAACTGGGTTTCTGCTAAAAGTTGAACAGTGACATTTACTGCTGATTAAGGGGAGATTCAGAAACTTTTGCTTCAGAACCAGTAGGTAGAAAGTTTGAAATATTCATGAAAATGTGAAATTTCTAAACTCTGGTTTCATCTGAATAGGCCACCAAGATTTTTATCAATTTTAAGACATTTTATATCATACTTCATTTTAGAAATTATATTAAAAAATTTTTTTTTTTTCTAAAATAAGTGAGGGGCCCAAGTTACAAAAACCTCAAAGAACGTTTTAATTTGTGTTTTCTGAATGTTACTGCTGTTAGTGCGGAGCCCTGGTAGCGTTGTGGTTATGTGCTTGGCTGCTAACCAAAAGGCTGGCGGTTTGAACCCACGTGCCGCTGTGGGGGAGAAAGATGAGGCAGTCCGCTTCCGTCAAGATTACAGCCTTGGAAACTCTATGGGGCAGTTCTCCTCTGTCCTGTGGGGGCGCTGTGAGTCGGAACCGACTTGATGGCAGCAGGAGTGGCGCTGGGTTCGGTTGTTGTTAGGTGCCTTCAGTCGATTCTGACTCTTGGTGACCCTGTGTGTACAGAGGAGAGCTGCTCCATAGCGTTTTCAAGGCTGTGACCTTCAGAAAACAGGTCCCTCTGTGTGGGTTACAACCTTTTGGTTAGTAGTCCAGCACTTAACAATTTGTGCCACCCATGAACTATTTTATCTTCTGAATAACCATCAGGAATGAGCTATCACACAACAAAAGGGGGGAAGAGCCTGAGGAACTTCCTAACAACTACCACTTCACCTCAGGCCGTTAATGGGAGGGCAAGAATCAAGCTACATGGCCAAGGTGATCCGTTACACTCCCATGAGCTGGCGGACTCCAACACACACAGTTTTTTAGTTGCAATAAAAAGTACATACTTTTTTAGGTTGGATACAATACCTACCAGTAGGTTTTAAAGAGGGAAATATATTTAATCCAATTTAAAATTAAAAGAACTATGTGGACACAGCAAGGAAAAAGAAATGGTGCTCAGCTGATCGAATTTGGCTTCCAGTTATGTAACAGAATTATCTGTGGATTTGTGACTTCATCATTTAAACTGTCTTACGTGGAATCAGATTCGGCATTGCACTGCAGAAAGAATCCTACGCTCTTTTGGTGTGGTCTGTCTGGATAAAAGCGTGGCATCACCATAATCTTCCATGGCAGATTTCGCACAAAGCACGGAGGGCTAAGGACCGACTCGCTCAATCTGCTGAAGCGCTCGACAGTGAACTGAAAGGTGGCCTCGGAGCGCCAACTCGTGTCTGCAAGAGAACGCGGCGTCAGTCACAGAGGCCGGGGCATCAAACAAAACTCAGCACTAGCATAAACACAGCGTAAAACATTCTCTGAAACTGCAATGCACTGCTGCAACTTAACTCTTCGGAAAAATAACCGGATAATTTCCAGTCTGTTAACAGCCTACAAACAGGGAGACCTGGCATATAATTTCTGTACAAATGAATGCTTCCTTACGAAACCCAGAACTCAGAGGGTCGACAACAGACACCCTGGCCTCCCCACTTGCATTCAAGAACGTATCTTGTGAGGATTGTCTGTGCTACCATGTCTCGGAAGAAAGGAATAGACTGGCCCACAGAACTTTTGTTCAAGAACAGGACTTGTGGAGAGAAAGAAAAGGAGTTGAGACTTGGGTGTCGTCTGGAGAAGAGGAACTGAGGAGAGCTGAATATCCCGCCTGGCACATAAAGACTTCAAGGTGAGTGGGAAACCGCCACTCCCCTGGAAGCACAGCACTGTTAAGAGGCAAGAAGATGGCTAAGAATTTGCCTACAAATAAATGTTAACTTCATCAGTTCACAATTTCTGTGAAATATCAGCTTGGACTCCCTCTGTGGGGATCATAAAAAAATTCAAGAAACTGGCCATCTTCTCAACATAAACAATATAAATTCTTAGATGTTAACAACAATTAAGGTCAATTTAAGGAACTAAGGTTTCTGTCAATAAAAGGTGAAGTACTAACAGTGCCTCTTAGTCAGCTCGAAAGGAGCCCTGATGGCACAGTGGTTAAAGTGCTTGGATGGTAACCGAAAGGTTGGAGGTTCAAACCCACCAGCCGCTCCGTGGGAGAAAGATGTGGCAGTTTGCTTCCATAAAGTTTTACAGCCTTGGAAACCCTATGGGGCAGTTCTACTCTGTCCTTTCGGTCCCTATGAGTCAGAATCGACTCAATGGCAGTGGGTTTGGTAGTGGGTTAGTCAACTCAAAGTCACAGTTCAAAATTCCACCTTGTACTATTTGCTGATGTTGGTTTGTGTGTGACTCACAAGCTCTGACAAACCCGGCAGGGTCTCACTCCATACATCAATGCTTCTCAAACTACCTTCATGAAGAACAGTCCTCTACCCCCCCAACTCCCGAATTTGTGACTGATCGATACTTTCATAAAACATAATAAAATTACTGTGGCACGGTCAAATTGCTATATAAGTTTCTGAATGTTTTCTCTCACTTTTTATACCTATCTCGTCACAGACAGGGACAGTTTGCAGACTGGCACAGGAGCAGGGCCACACTTAGGGGAGCAATGCTCTATGTAATAACAGGCGGTGCCTGGCAGGTGTTCCTGGTTTAGAATCAGGTGCTGGTTTGCCTTCCCTGGTTCCACAAAGTGAGGTTGGCGGGCTTGGGTAAGCAAGAGTGTGTCCAGAAGAACACATGCCCACCCTTTGTCCTCAGCCCCCAGAGGCAGTCACGGCTGAATCCACAATCCCTCAGGCTCCAAACACAAGTGAGTTCTCAGTATTCGCCACTTCTCAATGTACAGAAATTGCATGCTTCAAGTCTGTGACTGACTGAATTTGTTCTTAAGAAAACATGTCCAACAGTCCTCATGAGAGGGTAGTAGTCTTTACCAAATAAATAAAAATCAAAAATGTGTGTGACAGTGGTCACTTTTACCTTTTCTAAAAAACGCTTTACCTCATCACCTGTTTTTACTCCACAGAACCCAGCTCAGCAGAGGCCCTTTGGAAGGAAGGGCAGCAGAAGAGGGGAGTCCTGTCTACGAGAGAATCACCAATTGCAATCTCTGGCTGGTGGGTATTACCTTGATCCCTCTGAAGGATAAGAGTCTACTAAAAAGGCAAGAAACTTGTTCAAGGTAATAATGTCCGGAATTATGTAGGAGAAACATCTGCCGTGTGTTTTTACAGACCCACGGATCACGTTTGAGCAGTACTTAAATCACGCAGGGTAGGCAAGGGCAGGTGCTACCTGATTCCCACTTTATAGGTGAGGAAACTGAGGCTCCCTGAGGTTATGTGGCTTATCCGAAGTGCTTTACAAAGCGACCACAGAGGATCTAACACCCAAGATTTGTTCACACTAAGTACAGCGACTAAGCATGGAGCCAACCTTAGAGAGTTAGCATGCCTGCTTTACAGAGCCCAAGGACCTGCAGAGAAGACAACCAGATACCAATCACCACAGGACAGCACTCTTGGAACCTAAAATCCCAACGCCGCAGGCTGAGCCTCTCTTCTAACTCACCTATTCGGTTTTCAGACACAACCGAGCTCTTTGTCGGATTAGGTTTTTATATATACAAGATTGATACATACTGTAAATAATGCTTTTTTGTTCTTTAGTCAACCTCCTGAATTATCCTTCAAATATCCAACAGACCCAAAGCATGGTGACACTCTGTGTGGCACCAAGTCTACTAGGTGGCAAGCCCCTCAAGGCAGAGCTGGCACTGCAGTCATCTCTCTGTCCCCACTGCCTGGCACCACCCTGGCACACAGTGCTTCACTCCCATTTGTTCAACAATACACTAAGCTTCTGCCTCATGTACATTCTTAGAACAGACTTATCTTTCTGAGTTTGCTAATCGGGAAGTTTAGCATGAGACTTCACAGGAATAAAAATTTTACCCCAGTGGCTCTAAACTCTTCATACTAATAGAATAATTGAAAAATTATATTAAATATCAAAAAGTCAAGACAGGAGGCCCTACAAACAAAAACAAAAACAGACGCAGACTTAATATCCATCTCTGGCAGAGAGGGTTGGCCTATCTTCCCGTGAGGAATTACTACAGGAGTCTGACCAATCAATGTCTTTGTTCAAGAAAACGCGGAAACGGCACACAGTATTCAATGTACTATTTTTGCAACTCCCTGTGAGTCTACAATTATTTTAAAAAAGAAAAAGATCAAAAAAAAGTACACTTGGAATTATAAAGGATAGCCGGTATCTTGCAGAATCGATACTTCATCCAAATAGACTCTTATTCACCCGGATACCACTGACATGAACACAGCATTTACTTCATTGCTCCACACCTCCTTTTACTGTAAGTGACGGCACGACGGGCTTGTGCTGACTGCCATCATCAACATCTGACCCGGGGTTAACCTACCACCTTCCAGTTCTGCCTCTGCCCAATCCTGGAGCAGCATCAAGCCAGCATATAGCACAGAACAACCATGGTGCCCATACTAACACCAATCTTATCTTCACAGGGCAAAGGCCAATGTACCATCCTGGGCTTGGTTACATGAGGAAAGGAGAGGCAGATACCACGCTTTGGGTTTTTAAATTGAAAAGGTCAGCCTGAAATTTTTCCAAATGGTTCTCGTGAAGTGATTTCATCAAACCTCAACAATTCATTCTAATATAAGTCTTTGCAAATTCTAGTTAAATCCCCGACACTGGTACCAACAATCTAAATCTAGGTCCACCTCGGTCGAACACGGCTGCATTTGCTCTACAGCTTGTCTTGATCGTCTAAAGAAAAACTAACGTGAAAGTAGAGTAAGTATGACTAGAAAATGATTCTGATATCTGCCCACAATTCTAGGTTAACAGGTTTTTTTTTTTTTTAATGCTCTCCACCCCAACCATACATTTTTCTAATTCACTCCCAAAATTCCCTTATAAGAAGGCTTTTCTGCACACCAGTCGAGGCACTGGTAACTTGAGTCCAAGACAATTCTAATCCAGTGTTTTCCCGAGCATGTGTCCTGATTTGAAGTGTTAACAGGATATTCGGGAAAAACAAGGTTCTGAAGCCTAAAGTCGGGGAGTCCATAAGTTTTTTGGAGAAGTAATATACGTTAGCTAATTAAGGCTCCAAGAAGTTCTGCGATAAAGAAACTTCTTTAACCCAGCACTCCTCAAACTTTCTACAATTCTGGACACTCTTCACAGCACATTTATTACACCCTGCAGAACAACATTCCTCACAGTATAGATCAGCTTGGAAAATGTTGCCTTGACCTAAGAATTCTGCTCCTGAAACAAGAACCATCTTCCTACCTCCTCCTCCCCAAAAAGGGGGAAAATGGAAGGAAAAAACTTTATTTCCCTTTGTGTGTGTGCGCACGCGCGCGTGTGTGTGTGTGAGAGAGAGAGAGAGAGAGAGAGCTTAAATAAGTCATCTTTTAAGTAGGTTTTGTCCTGCTGTGAAATAGACACGACCTTTTCACTCTCTTATCCTTTCTGCCTTTGGAAGGGCCCCTAAAATTTCAAACTAGGAAGAACATGGTACTGAAGACCGTTCTACCTTCCCCTATAATAAGCTTTTTCCATTTAAGAACTCACAACAGGAGCATATGCACTTCTAGGTTGTACGTTCTGGCACCCTCACTTACTACTAGTAACTCAGTAAAACTTGTCTCGAAAGAAAGGGGATTTTACCTACATTAGGCCCCATTACTGGTGGTTCTCAACCATTGCAATTTTCACCCCCAGGGACACTGGCAATGTCTAGAGACATTGTGGTTGTCACAGGGGGTGAGAGTGGGGGAGATACGGCATCTTACAATGCACAGAACAGCCCCCCACAGCAAAGACTTATCTGACCCAAAATGTCAACAGTGTCGAGGTTGAGAAGCTCTACCTAATATCTACATCTAGACAGCATTCCCAATGCTCTCCACTCGCCTCCCGCCTTTAAAAAAAAAAACCAAAAACCAAAAAACTGGCAGAAATACTAGTATGAAATTGCTCTGTGGTAACTAGTATGGGCGTGCTCTGACTGGGTTGGGCCAGTTACTGCTCCACAAGTGACTAGAACCTATCCCAAATTCACACCTTGTCCATTAGACCTGGCCATGCCTTCCCAAATGTGCTTTTGAGCCACTTTTGGCGTCTCTGGTGTCTGAAATAAAACCACCAACAGCCCACAGACCAAAGAGACCACACCCACACCGTTGCCCTTCGTCTAAGAGGAAAGCGCACTCCACAGGTAACAAAGCTGCGGGGTTGAGACCACGCCTCTTTACCTTCCTCAGATATTGCCTCAGCCAGCTGCCAGGGGTAAACCGCACTGTGAGAGAACTCTCAACTACTGCTGCAGTTTCTCATGGAGGCTGAACTTTTGGCAGGAGGTCTGGACAGCAGTCCTTCTGGTGGTGCAGCCCGTGACTGATGGTTTCTTTCAACTGCCCCGTTACTCCCCTGGGAAGGACACAACCCTCATGAGGATTGATGGACATGCTTTTGACAGAACATGGTTTCAAATTACACTGCAAGATTCCGGGGGCTGCATAAAGTGATTACTGGCTGCTACCTTCTCAGGATTCTGACCTCGCAAACGTACAGCACATTATCTGATAAATTATAACGAAGAAATACCCTCGAAAGAAAAAAGTGATTTCCTAGGCACCAAATGGCCATGCGTGTACGCGTGCCTATGCTTTTTCAAGTAGAAGATATAGACCAAAGGTTAGTACGGGAGAACGAAGCCCAAGCTTGACTCTCGTTTCACACCTCATGGGAGTGGGGAGGGATTATCGGCTACAAACAACTGATATAGACGCTACAAGGAGAATGCAATGGAAAGCCAAGTTCCAAAGTCTGAAGTATCTTGCTGCAAACAGAAAGGAAAGGCGAGTAAGATATATATACTTGTTGTTCTGAATAGGATACTACTAACAGTGGCTGGAAAACTGCAGGAATGAGTAAATACCCATCTATTACACAAACTCCTCTGGTTCAATCTTCTCACCTAGGCTGGGGAGAATCAACTTACCTTGGAATTTGTAGGCAATCTTGCAATTCAAAACCAAAACAGGCTCGTATCTTTTCCTCAGACACAACCTCCTGAAAACTAGCTAGTCTGAAGAAACTCAAGACATACTCAAGGCAGAACTATGGATCGCATCTGTCTGTGCTTCCGACAAGCGTCCTGCCCACTATAAATAAGGAGGCCACAGCAACTTACCGTCCTCCATGTCTTCCTCTGTGTTGTTATGCCCGTCACTCATGGCTACATTCCCGTTGATAACAGGGTTCTGAGTAATCCTTGGTGGATCATCTGTATCTCCAGCTTTCAAGAAAACAAAAGAATTTCAATGGTGTTTACTTTCATGGCTTAGATTAAATAAACAAAAATGTATTTATATATAAGACAATTCCTAGTCTCTAGTAAATTCTAATTATACCGTAATAAAAATATCTAATCTAATCCAAAAGGTGTTCACTACTAGTGTGTTCACTAAATAGGAATGTTTGTTGCTTTCAAAAAACTGAATGGAATTTGAACACGCAATAATCTGCTCCATCTGCGATATTTAAAACTTTGTTTTATGTAAAATTTCTTAATTTAATTTATTCTACTACAGGTTTCTAATACTCTTAGATTTAAGAACCTTAATAAATTATTGTGTGGAGGTAGAAATTTCAAGTCATTATTTTGCAATCAGTTTCCAACAACACATTAAAACTCAATCCTAGGGAAAATTTTATTGAAAAGAGTTACTAAATATATACAAAACAGTACAGACTAGAATGAACATTTTAACTTTTCACCATGGACACGTGTCAGTGCCTAAAACACATCACATTGTCATTCTCAAAGGTCACCTGACAATTACTGGATAATGAAAGCAAAGTATAAATCCATGCAAAAACCAGGACTAGAGTTTTGAGGGCACACAGCATGGGGAAGAGGAGTTACTGGAAGATGGCATTATGAAGAATCTAGAAAGGACTGAGAAACTGATAAATTGATTTTGTCATTCTACATGCTTGCTAAAATCTGGCTCGAAGGCATTTACATTATCATCAGAAGCTGAGGTTCAAAACTTTTAAGCAACAACTGGCAAATATAAGGTGTAAACTACAATTGTAACATTCTCATCACTATTGTTATTCATTAATTCAAAAAGGAAAAAATGCAGAATAGAATTTCAAATTCTCATGGACTCCAGACTTTCTGGAGCCAAGAAGGCTGGATGAACCCTTGAAACTATTGCTCTGAGAAAATCTTTAAACCTTAAACCAAAAAAATATCCCCTGAAGTCTTCTTTCTTAAACAGTTTACAATAGATTAGCTTAACTAGTAAAGAAAATGTCTGCCTTGAGCACTGAGCTCTTTAAGTCTATCTATATGGGATCAAATTGACAACAACAACTCAAGAAATTAGACAGGAACTTTAGGGGGCAGTAAGTTTACGCTAATGGGGGAGGAACAACTCAGAAAAGGAGAGTGAGAATGTTTGCACAACTTGAAGAATGTAATTAATGTCACTGAATTGTACGCGTAGAAACGGCTGAATTAGTGTATGTTTTGCCACGTATATTCTCAAAGATGACAAAATAAATTAAAAAAATAACAAAACATAATCTTATCTTACACTGACACAGGTCCACCAACTAGAAAGAAGAGGATATGGCAACACTTAGGACGTAAATAGGCTCCATCGGACAAAAAGGCCATACTTCATATGTAACTCTACTTTTTCTTCCTCACGTACAAACAGCTCTTTGGAACTAATGTTGGCACCCATGTTGCAGAGTCAGCGTTCCCCAACATCAGGCACTTCAAAACAAATTAAGAGTCTCGGGTACAAACAGGAGATGTGCTATCTTAAATAGCTAGGTAAGTGTGCACCTGGTCTCCCAAATTTCAGAGCCTTTCTGCCGTTTGGACCTAGCGTGAGGTTGGATTCAGCACCACGGATAGCACCCTTTCCCGTTCCCGCTCTAGGGACTCTCCAACATCCCAACCTATCAGATTACTTCATAAAACCCCTCAAATAATTCTTGATGGTATGTAAGTCGTGCTTTTACTTTCCTCTTAAGGATCTCAAACACTTTAGAAATTCTTGGAAGGCAAAAATTAAGTATTACTACCCAAACTGAGCATTTACTGATGATCATTCTCAATCCTGACAGTCTCTTAAAGTTTTATTAAATATTAATAGATACACATAATTAAGTTAAAAGTGATCTTAAAGAACAAACATATATACAGTTTTGACCCAGTTTCTCCACCATCACACCCCTCTGATAAAAAAAAAAAAAGTTGGGAGAGGGTAAACAACCAGATGTGTATATTCAGTACAGAGACAGAAAGGGGAGAAATCGTTTTTGCTGGTGCTTCACTAGCTCAAACTGTAAATAAAACGTATGATGTGCTAAAGAAAGAAAAATCAGAAACTTCACAATGCCTTTAATCCACATGTACCCTCGTAGAACTACATCATCATAAAAATGCTTTTTGAGGAAGAAACTCTGATGATGGCTTGTTAAATGAATAAATTACGGGACATCCCACCAATGGAATGTTACACAGCAGTTTAACAAAAAACGTACTCAATGTACCTATACGGAAAGCTGAAAAAGCAAAAAGAATCAAGATACCGAGCAATAAGTATCACGTGCAATTTTCATTATAAAAAGGAAGAGGGGTGTGTTGGAACAAGAATATATAAATTCTTATTTCCCTCTGCGTACATAAAGAAACACTGGGAGGATGGATACACAAGAACCTATTAGGAGGTTCTGTAGGAGCAGCAGTAGAGATTTGTCAATTTTTCACTGCATACATACATACAGATGCAGGACATACACTATGTGAATGTACCATAAATCTTAAAATAATTTGCTTGAAGTGTACCTGATTTTTAAAATTTAGTTCCTCAGTTCAAATTGTTCTAGTATAATTGCTTTAAGACATGATTTATAACGCAAAAGTGACAAATGGATATTTTCCTGCATATAAAACAAGGCATCACTCCTAAAATAAGGACATGTAGATATAAGCAGTCTAAACTGTCGTTAAGTCATAGAATTCTACAACTGATTCATAATTCTGACATACAGACAAGGCTTACGTTTTCAGGAGGTCATGTGAAGTCAGATTATGTGATACAAATAAATTCAGATTACAGCTGAAAGAAGGTAACTTTAAGGGCTTGTTTTGGTGACTTCAGATAGAGTGCTTTTTCACCAAAAGTCACGGCAATCATAAAAATCAAGATCAATCCACGAGATCTGTGATTCATCATCACAACATCTTACAGGGTGAAAGGGGAAAAATAAATTCTACTTTCGTTTTTCTGGTAGCAGGATTAACTGCAATATGGTGACTGAAGACAACTCAACATATTGTAAAATGCAGGGTCTCGTCTAGTGCTAATCAAGGCAGGATTTCTCTACAGTCAGCCCCTACAGGACAAGGGAAGCTGAGCTCTACCACGGAACCAGCTTCTCCGGAGCAGCAGCACTCCCATCTTTTGCAGACCAGGTTATACATTCATGCTGGGGTGACCAGTTTGCTCTTTTCCGCCCATTAAACCCATGGAGGCCAGTGTCTGTGAGTTGACAACAGCTCACTGGTCGGTCCACCATGTGTGTGGGGAACACGATCTGGCCGACAAACGGGCCCCACGAAGCTTCCCACCAACTGTCAAGGGACCTTTCAGTTAAGTTGGCAATTCAAGTCTACCTCCTGAGGGACTGAGTATCTAGTTATAAAAAGCTCCTCATAAATGATTTAGTTCAGCAGAAGGATTAAAAATTTAATTAAGACATGGTAAATCCCTGGACCAGAATAAGTGACAAGAGCCTGATATCCACCCAAAGTTTGTATAGGCTTCCAGAAATATCCTAAACCCTAAGGCAGTAAAACAGTGCCTTCTTTTACTACCACAGACAGAAATGTGAGACGGCATGCCTGTGCATCCATCGCTATATAGTGATCCCCCTTCGGTCTGCCCCCTCCCCCAACCAGCTGCAATTTTCTCAGACATTTGTTAACTCTGATTTGGCCAAACATGAACGAAAACACTTATTTTTTGACACAAATGATAAGACTGGGAACACATTTAATAATATGGCAAACGCCAATGACAATACGCAATACCTCAAATAACTTAGATGTGTCCCTGATATGCTAAATGTTTGTAGGAAAAAAGTAAAGCAATTAGCATTCCAAAATACACACACCACACCTAGAAATAAAACAGAAGATAGTTTCCATCACTCCTGATTGGGAAACCTTTGGCAACAAATCTTGTGATAAGTATCAGAGGCATAATTGTGTGTGTGTGTGTGTGTGTGTGTGTGTGTGTGTGTATAAAAGGCACAAAATACCTTTAAAAAGAGTGGCTTTAGAAACACACAAAAAGCTACCTTGGCTAATTGTAAGGCCTATATTTCCTTCTACTTTGAGGATGCTAATGCTTACATATATTCAGCTTTTCTTCCCACTAACTTCCATTTGTGATGTCATAACCCCGCCCCCCGCCAGAGAACACATGCCAGTTGCTATGGAAATGATGGTCGAAGCACAAATCTAGCACCTGAATCTCACTCCTGGATGTGGTAACTGATGAAGAGAGAGTAAAATTGTCAATCTGTTGGCTCTGACATTTTCTGTCACTTCACAAAAAGTTATCAACCCCCCCCCCACTAAACACTGCAATCAGCCCTCAACAGGCATCCAGCTAGAGTCCGTGCACTGCCACCAGGTGGTGCCTTGGCCACGAAGATCCAGCTCCGCCTGATTCAGGCGAGGAGACTCCACTCAGCCCTCCAGACTCCTCCTCAAATTTTCTCACTAGTGATAGAACCTGTGACCAAAATTAGAGCTCTATTAAGACAGTGGAACACACGGAGCACGATGGCCAATGCTTAGTCCCTGACTGGTTGAATGGAGCCTTACAGAACTACTTCTACCCCCCAGCTCCATCCGTTCACCTTGAATCCAAAGTCAGCCCCCTTCTGGCTCAGTCCTCCTCTCCTCTCCCCTGGTCCCATCAGGCATCTCCTCCCAGCTTCCTTTGTCCTTTCTTACACAGGCAGGAGGAAGGGAGAGGAAAGCAATGAAGCAGAGTGGCACCATGGGTCTCAAGGGATTCTCTCTTCATCAAAACAGACTCTACCTCCCCTGAAACCCCTCACCCTTCTAACGTCATGGAGACACAATTCATCCACCCCAAGTTCCAGGCGACCCCCAAAACTGGTGACAAACCTTTCTGGCTAGGTTAGCATTCTACATATAATCTGACTTTTTAAAGTTCAGATCACACTTCTTAAACTATTCCCAAAAAAAGCCTAACGTTCTTCACAAATGACAAAAAGAATTTAATTAATAAGCATTTCTGAACATATTTAAGAACACTAAAAACAGGAATTATCAAGACAAATTAGAAAACCAGTGTCTTTCTGTATATAAATTTCAATCCCATACTATTTTTTAATTGGTAGTCCCAAACATAATCCAGAAGGACAGTCTAGAAATGTCTGTAATTAGTTCTCTAAATTCATCAGCAGCGTAAGGAACCTCATCTGGAATCGGAAATCACCTTCTCCTCCAAGCCTGTGGTTCCCAGCCATGCCTGCATGGTTCTGCAGCAGAATCTACTGGGGCTGGGGGAGGGGAAGATTCTCACATCCACATCAGAGTGACTACACAGAATCTCTAGGAGATTGACCTCACCACTCTTTTTTTTTTTTTAAAGCCCCCACAAAATTCTGGTGCTCAGAACCAGAAACACACTCAAGCAACTTTGTTAATTTAGATAATTCCCTTCAAAAGGCAGAGTGGTCCAGGAACAAAAAGGGGGCGTTGAGAGAAAAACTGGTGAAATCCGAAGAGAAGCCTGGAGTTTGGGCAATGGTAATGGACCAATACCGGCTTCTGAGTTGTGACAGGTGAACCCTGGTGATGTAAGCTGGAGGCAACCGGGCAGGGGGACATGGGAACTCCGTACTAAGTGGCTTGTACTAACTTTGCAGCTTTTCTTGAAATTACTCCAGGAAAAAAAAAGTTTATTTAAAAAGAGGCAGAGTAGAAAGTCCTGTCAAGCCTAAGGAGCCAGAAACTAACTTGTATCAAACTTATAAATGAAGAGTTTCAGCATTATGCATCCACATGAAGTTATGTCTTAAATTCTCAAGCAGTTAAGCGCAGGAAGCAAAA